GCCCAACGTTTTGATTACTCTGCTTGTGATTTAGATTCCCGTGTACTGACCTCCCCTCTGATTAAACAGACTTTGTATCTTCTCTAAGTGTTTTGGATTTGTGCATTTGGGTTCTTAGTATAATTGTCACATTGCAGGAAGTCACATGACTAGAAATACGTCATGCTGACACTTTTGTGCTGCTAGATGGAAAACCAAATCTCCCAAATGACTTTTTTCTGTTTAGGCCAGGCTTACACTCTGCAAAGTCAGGCTGTACCGACTCAAATGTTTGAGTCTGATCACGGACTCAAATGTTTGAGTCCGATGCACACTGGACAAATGTTCGATGCACTGGACTCAAATGTTTGAGGCGATGCACACTGGACTCAAATGTTTGAGTCCGATGCACACTGGAGTGGAGCAGCACTGCAAAGAGAGAGAGAGAGATCAATGATAATTAAGGGAGGTCAAATACCCTTTTTCTCGTAAGTGGCAGCCGAGGACACGACTGCATCTGTCAGTCTTCTTCAGAGAAGATGACTGGTCTGAAACATTTCACTTCCCTCTCTTAGCTCAGTAACCGTTCAACAGACAGGCACCACTGCTTAACCGTGACAACAGACACGTTTCACTACTTAAAACAAGACGTTATGAGCTACTTGTTTTAGACTTTAGATGCAGTGAAGTTTGGTTTGCAAAATACAAATTCAGAATTTCGCTGTAATTCTGTGATAAGTCTTTGTATATGTTGTATCCACTTTCAACATTTTCTCATTAAAAGAACATTTTTAATCCTTGAGAAAGGGCAAACACAAGCAACACAAAAAAGTTGGCAAAATACTTTTTCAGGTTTTAAAGAATAGTTTAAATGTTGTTTGAATTGTGTATATGAAAAACTGAAACTTGTGGAAAATAATTGTTAAAGCTACTGAAATACTTTTCAGAAAACTTTTAAAATACTTGAAAGACTCATCATCAGATCAGCTCATTGAGTGATTGAAATCCATCATTTCCATAAAGAGCCACTTTGCATGAGCAGCAGCATGCTCCAGTGCTCGGGGAGAGTTTAAAGTCCTGAGAGTTGAACACTGCAGGACTGACAGCTGTCCTTCATCACAACAGGAGACACAGAAATCCTCCTCCTCCTCATCCAAAAACATGACTTTGATCTGCGTCCTCATCTGGACTCTCCTCCTCTGCTGCTGCTTCACAGGTAAAGTCCAGACAATCAAACTCCTCTCCTCTATGAACATCCGTCTCTCTGAAATGAAGCCCACACAACCCTGATGCTGCTTCATGTGTTTGTCTCTGTCTCCTCAGAGTCCAGAGGACAGGTCACAGTGACTCAGCCTGCAGCAGTGAGATCTGCTCTGGGAGCCTCCGTCACCTTATCATGTACAACCAGTAAGGATGTAGATACTACAGGCGGCAAACCCTATTTAGCCTGGTACCAACAGAAAGATGGAGGAACTCCTAAACTGCTGATTTACTATGGTAGCACTCGAGTATCGGGGACTTCAAGTCGTTTTACAGGCAGTGGATCAAACTCTGACTTCACTCTGACCATCAGTGGAGTCCAGACTGAAGACGCAGCAGTTTACTACTGTCAGAGTTATCACAGTGAGTTGTGTTCACACAGTGAAAAAGCGTCGTACAAAAACCTCCCTCAGTCAGCCTGAACAGAAACCAGACTGACTGCTGCAGCAGGAAGCTTCTGCAGAGACTGACACACTTCACTGAGGACACACACTCAAACACTACACTGACTGGTTTCCATCACCTCTTCCCTGTAATACAAAAACTACACAATCAGTTATTCAATATCATATATTTCCACTATACAGTACTTAGCATTTCAAAATGAACCCTTGGCATATGTCAGATATTTATGAAAAGATTTTTAGTGTTGTCCTCGTTCTCTTCTCAAAGGTGACTTCAAGAGAGTGTGGGGTAAAGCCGATCACAGAGCCAGCCTCTTTGATCAGCTTATTGATCCTATTTGTATCATCCAAACAGAAGCTGCCCCCCCCCAGCACAGAACAGCATAAAAGAGGACACTAGCCAAGATACAAAACGTACTTCTTGCTAAAGTCAGAGGATCTAAGCTTCCTTAAGAGTCTTGACTGAGCCTTCTTTAAAGACACATCAGGGTTATTTTTTCCAATTTAATGTACTGTCCATGAAGACATCGACATATTTATGAAACTGGACAGTTTGGATCTGCTATGAGGGGAAACATCGTCTTTCTTTCTTCTAAAATCAATAATACTTTCCAACATTCAATATGCATCACACCAGCTGACTAAAGATTCAATCTATGTTTGTGTTGGTCAGATTATTGCCTTGGGTAAGTAGGTGCACGAGAGCAGTAACATCTGAAAACTTGTGGACATGATGTCTGGACAGTGGGGCTGCTACACACTGCGACACAGGGAGCACAACAGAGCTGTTGGGGGTTCAGTGTCTTGCTCTAGGACACCTCTATAGCACTCGGAGAGTGACCTGGGACCTGGCAGCTTCCATACTTTGATGTGTACAGGGACTTAAACCACGACCCTCAGGTTCCCAAACAAGGTCCCTACAGACTGAGCTACTGTCGCCACAAATATATAAAATACAGCGCCTGCTCTATCAACTGAGCTAAACTGGTGCCCTGCAGAGGAAAGGTTAGTCTGCACTGACAGTATATGTGTTGTTCTCAAGTCTTAAAGTCGTCGACTAGAAACTTGTTTCCATAAGAGTCCTCCTAATTATATCCAAGAAAAGCAGAGCACCCAAAGCACCACAGGTAAAAGAAGGAGTTTACTACTGTCAAAATTAAAAACATTTGAATTGTTTTAATTGATAATATCTCTTTTTATGAGTTAAGTATTAAATCGTTTTCTTTTGACATCCCAACAGAATATGCAGAAAACACCAAAAAAGCCTTTGAATAAACTTTCCACAATGTGTGTTCTCATGATTTTAATTTAATATAATTTTGACAACCAACAGAGCAGGCATTGAACAAAATGCCAGAAGCAATGTTTTATCACTTTATGCTGATGATCATCCGTTTTATTTGTAACACATTTCTTACCCACCTTCATTATTTTCAGAGATTTAACAATTCAACACATCAGTCATCAGATTGAGACATTTCACCATCTTCAACAGCAGATTTTGATGATATAAGATTATTTGGAAGTTTCCATTGCTATTTTTTTTTTATTCTTTGATGAACTTACCAAAGTCCGTTCAAAAATTGTTAACCTGTTAAGAAATGAAAGATATGCACAACGAACTCTGTTGATTCCATTTTTATTCTTTTGCTCATTTTAAGAAAAACTGTCAATAAAAAGGAAGAAAATTAACGTTGAAACATAAAATCATAGAGAGGGAAAGAAGGCATTTAGCGTGCAAACTGAGGGCAGTTTCAGAAGTGAAACAACAGCAGGGAGAAACCAGCAGCAGAGTCCAGGTGATACAGCTCAGTCCTGGGAACACTGGTCCCTCCTCAGTGTCTCTGAGACCAGCGTCTGGGAGCCCTGGGTGGCCTCACAGGTCACAGAGCCCACCTTCGTCCACTGGCCTGCAGAGAGCCTCAGGGTGCTGCTCCAGCTGTAACGAGCGTCCTGCTCCATCACCGCAGGGCCCCTGCTCTCCTCCCAGCTGCCGCCGCTGATGCCGTCCACCTTCCAGGCCAGACTCCAGTCTGAGGGGAAGCCCTTGTTGGCCAGGCACACGAGCGTGGCCTTCCCCTGCTGCAGCTCCTCATTGGAAGGGGGCAGAACCATCAAGGTGGGACGGGCTTCACCTAGGAGACACCAATCAGAACAGAGGACAGGAACCACACAGCTGTCAGTCAAACACATCACTCCTGGACACCTTTGCAGTTGAAAGCAGAGTTTCTCCTTTAAGGAGTTTCTGTCAGATGTTTTTTTCTGCTTCAGCAGTCACTCACACATTGTTTCACTTCCCTCTCAGAAATCTGTCATGCAAATCAACACAGAGACGATCATCGTACAGAGAGACCAGAATACACTGGACTTAAAATAAAAACGCTGAAAAATCATCAAATCACTCAAACCTTTGAAATACCTATTTTTCTAACTCTTGAGTGGAAACATGAACCAAATCTATCAATAAAACATGTTTTAAATCATAAAAGGCTAAAAAATCTTAAGTGACATAATCTGCAGAAAGAGATCAGAGATTTTGAACATTTTCATTCAAAATTCTTACAACTTCCCTTTGAGCAATTTATTCAAAATGACAAAATGAAATAAGGGCCTTTAAGAGTTATCGTTGATGTGGAATAGATATCTGAAACCAGAGAATTATTTTTTATGAATCTGAAGCTGCTGAACTGAATGTAAACGATCTGTCCTGAGATGGTACAGGAGGACAAACACAAACAGGAAAAAAATATAATGTAAAAATGTATAAATGTTTCTTTATATGTAAAAAAAAAAAAAAATCATGATTACATTGCACTGTTTAGAAATCAACAGAAACTTACCTCCGACATCCAGTCTGGTTCCTCCACCAAAAGTCCACCACAGTGATACAAAGTCACTGAGTCGCCGTACAAAAACCTCTCACTGCACAGAGACACGGCTCTCTGACTTCAACACATCGTACTCAAACTACCAGCCCTCAAGATGCAACTTCACCTTTACAATGATAACACTCATTTACTCTGGAACAAATGATGACTCTGGCTTCAGATTTGACTATTTTGTGTTTCATTAAAAACTAAAATCTTCAAATTCTTTAGTCTAAATACAGAGAAAAACATGCACACAAATGTTTGGGTCAGTCATTTTCAGTCTTGCATTTCAAAATAAAATAATCTCTTGACATACAAAGGGTTAATATTTGACTTACTTCCAACATCCAGTCTGGTTCCTCCACCAAATGTGTACCACAGTGATGCAAACTCACTGAGTCGCCGTACAAAAACCTCTCACTAAAGAAAGTAAAAAAAATGCTCTTGTCTGCAAAACCTTCAAATGAACTGAAAAGTATAAAGAATACATTTCCATTAATATTCAAAATTAAGACATTTTATTCCGGGGATTTCTCCAGAAGCATGAAGACGGTTTTAAAAACATGTCTTATTGAAAGTTAAAAAAATTAACTTTATAATTAGTATAATCCAAGTCCCCAGTTAGTCAGAGCATTTCCATAAAGAGCCACTTTGCATGAGCAGCAGCATGCTCCAGTGCTCGGGGAGAGTTTAAAGTCCTGAGAGTTGAACACTGCAGGACTGACAGCTGTCCTTCATCACAACAGGAGCCACAGAAATCCTCCTCCTCCTCCTCGTCCAAAAACATGACTTTGATCTGCGTCCTCATCTGGACTCTCCTCCTCTGCTGCTGCTTCACAGGTAAAGTCCAGACAATCAAACTCCTCTCCTCTATGAACATCCGTCTCTCTGAAATGAAGCCCACACAACCCTGATGCTGCTTCATGTGTTTGTCTCTGTCTCCTTAGAGTCCAGAGGACAGGTCACAGTGACTCAGCCTGCAGCAGTGATATCTGCTCTGGGAGCCTCCGTCACCTTATCATGTACAACCAGTAAGGGTGTAACTACTACGTATGACGGCAAACCCTATTTAGCCTGGTACCAACAGAAAGATGGAGGAACTCCTAAACTGCTGATTTCCTATGGTAGCACTCGAGTATCAGGAACTTTAAGTCGTTTTACAGGCAGTGGATCAAACTCTGACTTCACTCTGACCATCAGTGGAGTCCAGACTGAAGACGCAGCAGTTTACTACTGTCAGAGTTATCATAGCATCAACAGTCAGGCTGTGTTCACACAGTGAAAAAGCGTCGTACAAAAACCTCCCTCAGTCAGCCTGAACAGAAACCAGACTGACTGCTGCAGCAGGAAGCTTCTGCAGAGACTGACACACTTCACTGAGGACACACACTCACGAATATGCGCTCAGTTTAGTTTACTGTCCTGCAGACTCTTTTACCTAAAACAACTTTTCAACTTACACAATAACAGCCAATGTTTAGGGACGGATAAAAGCAACACATAGCAGTACTTGAATAAGAGAGAAAGCAAACACTATACACTTTATGTGTTTTTATTTGCCTCTATAAGGTGTTCACAAATGTCCAACTGAACCTGGGCCTTAAAGCCCCGTTTCCACCAAGCGGTCTGGTTTGGTTCAGTACAGTCTGACACGGTAAACCCTGATCTTGTTTGCGTTTCAACAGCCAACCGTACATCATAAAACAACAGCGGCACGACAGACAGCCAAGACATTCAATAAAGAAGAAGAAGAATGTGACACAGTAAATAAAAATGAATGATTGCATCTCCCAGGTCGTCCATGGGGCGGAGCTACGGGCTGACATATAGTCGCATAAAAACAAAAAACAGCCTTTTAATGACTCTCTCCAAAACGTGGTGCGTTTTGTGTTTGTCCTTTATTACCGCTGTCAAGTGAAGATTCTTCTTTCGACCAATCAACAGACTGCAGTGTGTCTAGCTCCAACCTTTAGAGTCGGTTCAGTACGCTTGGCACCCCAACAGAAGCGTGCCAAAAAAGTATTCATGACAGTAGAAACACCAATACATGTGTACCATACCGAACTGAACCGGACGGGTTCTTAAGTTTCTAACTACACTCTTCTCCTCTGTCGCCCCCGGTGGTGGAAAATAATTCCAAACTTCATTGGATCCGCAGAGTCCCTTTGCACCTTTAAGAAAAAGCTAAAGACCCAGCTCTTTATGAACACCAATGACCTTCATGATGATGATGAAGATGAAGATGGTGTTGTTTGGTAATGATGATCACGATATTTAGGATGGTTTTGATGCTGATTAGAACTCTAAGAACAGCTGTTGAAGTTGTGCTTTCCTGTCAGCATCTGTGTGTCAGATCAGACTGAAAGCTGTTCATTTGCACTTACTGACTTTGTTTCCTCCTCTCTAGATCCTCGCTTGTGTTGCACTTTGGATAATAGCGTCTGCTAAGTGAATTGTAGAGTTGAAGTGACTCTGAAAGATTAAAAGTCCCAAACCTCAAAGGCACAGTTTCTTTTCCTTTCAAGTGATCACAGGTATCTGGATCCTGCTTCTCCATTCAATGCAAAGTGTGTGAAAACAAAACCTTGACTGGCTCCTTTCTGGATCCATAAAAGAAACAAACAGTCAAATGGAGTCAAAATATTCAACCTGAAATAAGAAAAAACAAGTCAATATGTAGAAAACTGATATACTCTGTAAATAGATAAGAAAATGCACGAGCATCTTCTTAGAAACACATAACCATCAAATCTTCACACCCATTACATCATCATTAATTTCAAGAACTACTCAAGAACTACTGAAATGTAGCTTCATGCCACACGCTGTGACTACGTCAGCTGAATGTCCTCGTCTCTATGAGGTGTAAAGTGATCCTCTTCAGTGAGTCCTTACAGGAGAGTCTCTGTGGAGACTGAATGAGCTGCTTCACTAACAGTCTGGATTTATTAACTGAGTCTGGAGGATGAACTGAGCAGGATATAAGGCCATTTTTAAAAGACGTACTCTGCTGCCCTCTGGTGGCTGAATGAGGGAAATGATACTGACAGAGGTACGACATTGTCTTGTTGAAATAACACACTGATAATTATAATATGAAACTATTCATCAAACGGAAGAAGACAATGCTTTAAAGCAAGATGAATGAAACATACAAGACGACAAGGACACATTTTTTAAGCATGGGAGATAATTATAAGAAGAACTAACTCAAGACATCGTATTTCATTTAGAACCAATATTATAAAATCAATATACTACCTAAAGCTAATACTTCATTCAACAAAATAATACTGTCAATGTTATGGGGAAGATGTGGCTTAGAGGTACAGTGGTTTGGTTGTCAGAAAAGTTGGTGATTCGATCCCCAGTTGAAGCAACCCAAATGGTTCCTGAAGGCATCACCATCAGTGTGTGATCGGATTGATGGACAGTTTGGCTCGTTATGACCATAGACTGTAAATATAACTGGACGAACCCTGACCCGTCTGTTACATAGACAGAAAATGAGTCCAATCGACGGCCGCATCCATATTGGATTTGCAGTCTCAACCTAACTTCGGATCAACCTAGCGACAGCAGTAAGGCGGGACTTAACTCCGCCCATTCAGCTCGACGTCAGCAATCCACTTGACAGCATAGCTAACAGCTAGGCTGCTATCATCAACTATTCCTGCTCATCCTGAGAAAACTAAACAGTAAGTTAACATTTAACTTTTCTACAACACAGTTAAAACTAATTATATTCTACTCAAATATTTAATTAAAGTCTTAAAACTACACTTTTTTAAATATACAATCATGGTTATTAGTTATTTGTCAGAGCAGTTAAACTTTGTCAGTGTTAGCAGAGAAATACATTAACAAAGTTTTATCCATAGACTGTAAATAAATATGAGACATCCAGAAGAAATCAATATTACAAAGCATACAGTTCATGTTACTGTTCTGACAAAAAGAGGAATGTCTGTGTCTTATATTTACTGATGTCAACAGCGATGAGGTGAACATGACAATTGAAAAATAAATATTTAGTATTTATTATAAGATATTTGTTTTCTATTGAACCTGTGAAGTCATGGAGTCTGTGGACAGTGTCAGCTTCACACCAAAAACTTTAAGTATTAGAAAATATAGTGTTTAAGACTGGCATCTATTATGATGAGTTGCAGCTACCTTGTTCAATATTATTCCTGCAGATGTGGCTCATAACAAAAAAACAGCCTGAGCTGTCACATGTAGTTAACTGTACATTTTGTCTGAGGCATTAATTGAACACCTTTGTATTTCTCCTATAGACACAGTGTGGATTATTGGTGACTGGTCCATCGAGGTGCCCAGAGAGCTGCAGAGACAGAGGAAGAAACCTGAGCCTCAACAACATCTGTATTTGTTGGTTCTTCTGGGTGGACTTCAGTTGCTTCTCTTCAACAGCTTGCTGTGAGGGAGGTCTCCCCCGGATGGCCTGAGTGATGTCACTCACAGGCTGAGAGCTGAGGCGGGTTTTAAACCTCCTGACAAACCGTTACACCGCGCCCACCTGTCAAGCTGGTCAGCTACACACCTTATTGTGAATAACTCTTATCCTTCATCAAATCAAAACTGATGAGTCATCAAAACATTCACCCCCCGTACAGTGTGTGTCCATCGAGACATGAGCTAATCACACCTATTTGTTTGTTTTGTACCAAGCTGTAAACATGTTCATCTCTGCTGTAAAAACAGACTTTTTTTCATGTTGTTTTTCAGATTAAATAAATATTTCTATATAAATGCACTCCTTTATGTCTACTTATGAGTATACATTTCAGATTTGAAATGACAAGACTAAAATGTGCATTAATGCTCAACTCAATAGCTTAGGGAAGGAAGTCTACTTTTACACAACTTTTTATTCTTTTGATAAATACTAATGCAGTTCATTTCTTAAAATGGGATGGAACAGAGTCATTGCAAAATGATGACCTTAAACACAGCCCCATTCTTAAATCAAGATACATGGAGAG